AAAAAGTCTGTGAGTTAAGTAGTACAGCTATTATCTCCATATTACACAAAAGAAAAACACTATCCACGTAAGCTATAACACTATTTATTGTTAGCATTATTATTATTGTTCTATTCAGACATAAAGTAACTAGATTCCCATAATGTGTAGAGAAAGCCCTCTTAAGATCCAGCCTGCCATCTCTGCAGAGAAGTTACAACAGGGAACACCCATTATCCAACACGTATTCCTTGGCACCAGCTCAGAGGGTCCGTGGTTTGGCCAACTCAGCTACATTTTACATGACTTGAGGGGTTAAACAAGCAGAGCCACATCTGTGAGAGAAATACAGCAGCAGTACTGTTCACAATTAAGTGACTCACGATGAACAAAGACTTTCCCTTTGGTCTTGGGTCTGACCACTTGAAATACTGACTCTCCCCATGCAACACTCCACCAGCTTTGGTCAAACAGTTCTTCCAGTGACAGTTCACAGATTTGAACTTTTGAATTTTTCTTTTTTTACCAGACTTGTGATGTCAGTACAGGATGGTCCTGGTGAGGAACTTCTTCTATCATGCAAATCGGGATCCATTCTGGGGTTTACACTCTTAGTTCCCTGTGGTACTGGAAGACTGGTATTGGACAAGTGGCTCACTCCCAGTCACTGAGCCAGTATGTCAGAAGTAATATTTGAACCTAGGTTTCCCTGGCATTGAGGCCACCTCTCTATCCATTAAGCCATGCTGCTTCTCAATTGGGTGATACGGTCTTGAATATACTACAGGAGGAAATCCAAGGCTACACATGTATTTGGTTATACACAAAACAGCAACATAGCTCTCTTTGCACTAATGAGAATCTACTGGAAGCACCATGTTTAATTCCTGGTACCACATTTTAAGGTGACAGAAGCAAACTTTGAGCATGTTGAGATGAGTGAGGGTGACTACAGTGGAGAAAGATAGAAAAAAATCATGTCATAAGGAATGATTAAGAAAGGAAATAGGAATGTTTGGCCTGGAAGATAGAACACTAAAAGGAACACACAATAGCTATTATCAAATACCTGAAGTCATCATGTGACAACGGGCTAGACATTCGCTATAACTCTGAAGAAAGAACTGGAAGCAATGGGTAGAAGTTACAGAGGGACAGATTTTTAAGCAACAAAAGAGAATCTCAGTTTTAGAAGAGACCACAGAAGCCATTTGGTCAAACTTTTTAGAAACTAGAGCCAGCAAGAATGGAATGGATTGCGCCAGGAGACAGTGTATTCCCCGTCATTGAAAGTGTGAAAGCAGAGGATGGATGAGCTCTTTTCAGGAATGTTGTTGATCAAAAGAATTGAAAGCTATTAACAAACATATGAAAGACTGCTCCAAATCATTAATGATGAGAAATGTGAAATAATGTGAGACATTGTGAACTGGTCTAACCATTCTGGAAAGCAATTTGGAATAATTCAAAGAAAGTTATTAAAACATCTGTACTCTTTGACCCAGTGATGACCCTGCTAGGCACATATCCCAAGGAAGTCACAGACAAAAAGAGTGATCACATACACAACAACAAACAGAAATAGCAGTCACACACACAACAAAATAGTTATAGCAGCATTTCTTTTTTGTGGTAGCGAAGAATTTGAAACAAAGTTAATGTTCATCTATTGAACAATGGCTAAACAAGTTGTAGTACATGAATGGAACAGAGTGTTGCTATACCGTAAGAAACAAAATATGCTGAATTCAAAGAAACACGTGATTTCAATGAACTGATAAAGAGTGAGGTAAGACCAACAAGGAGAACAGTATATGCAAGTATAGAAATATAAGTAGAAAGGGAAAAAATGTAACTGAATTGTAAAATTATAAGAAACAAAATTGGAATATCTGAATACTTCCCCTTCCTTCTCTTGATGGAATCCCTAATGAATGGCTGAGAACTTAGAATAAGAAATGCATTAAAATGGTGGCCAGGCCCATAGAATGCTGAGCACTGGAATAATAAAGCAGAGTATTGCCTGCTGGTCCTGACTCACATCTCCTTTTCCTCTGTGCACTCTCAACACTTTCCAAGTTCCACCAGGGTCTCGTCTGTATTACTGGTCTATCTCTGCACCATAAAATTTTTTTCCCATGACTGGCAGTATTCTGAAACAACATTCAATTCTCAAAATTTTGCTCTCCTCCTCCTTTAGTCTAAGTAATAATAATAATGACATTTCTATAGTGTTTTAAAGTCTGCAAAGCAATTTATATATCTCAAATGAGTCTATAATAACCCTGTGAGGTTCAGTGTTACTAACCCCATTTGACAGATAAGGAAAAAACTGAGGTTGAAAAAGTGATTTGTCCATGTTAGTTAAACAGTTATGGCAAATGTCAAAAACAGGATTGGAGCCCACATCTTCCTCTCTCCAAGTTAAGCATTTTATATCACTGTTGTTGCTGTTCGGTCATATCAGTCATATTCAACTCTTCGTGACCCCATTAGGGGTTTTCTTGGCAGAGATACTGGAATGGTTTGCCATTTCCTTTTCCAGCTCATTTTACAGATGAGAAAACTGAGGCAGATAGGATTAAGTGGCCTGCCCAGAGTCACACAGCTAGTAAGTGTCTAAGGCTATATTTGAACTGGCATCTGCTTGACTCCAGGTCTGGCACTCTATCTACTGTACCACCTAACTGCCCTTTATATCACAAGGCTTCACTTAATGCAAATGTAAATACTGCCATTTTATTAGTAACGAGTCAGTACAAAAGGAAGTATTTATTAAGCAATTATTGTATACGTGTTACTATGCCAAGATCTGTATGGAATACAAAAGAGTTTGAAGGCACAGTCCTTGTCCTCAAGGAACTGACAATCTACTTACAGCTTTTAGACTGGAAATAACAAGTTTGAAAGAATTTGTTTTAAAAAAAAATCACTCCCTATATAATCAATTGAGCTAAAAATTCCATATAGAATATTTTCTTAGAATCAGGGGCACCTAAACTTTGGTGATATCGAATATTATTATATCAAGTTAACTTACCAAGTGTTTAAATTTCACAGGACAACTCTTCCAGGTTATGAAACACCACTAAATTAGAACCCAACTCAGGCTGCAATTAGTAATGATTTAATATAAACAAAATACGAATAATTGTTAAAATACTTCCAAAGATCCATGATTTTATCTTAGTAGAAAGCACAAAAGAGTTGCCGTGGCCAAAACCAGCTCATCACTCAGTGCAAACCATCAACCTCTCCCAATTTATTTGTTGGCTCTCAAATAATAGAAAGGCCAGGACTTGAATTCTTTCCAACTTACACTTGACTGGCAAAGCCTTCAAGAATCCCCCATGTCACAGTGAGGCACTGAAGGAGGATTTTAATGGAGAAAAATGACCAAGTTTTTGTTTTACAGTCTGGACCCAGGATTTCACCAGTATAGGGCCCTCCCTGGTGAAGAAATTCCCTATTCCAGTGAGGATCAGCAACTATTCTTCAACTTACATTCTTAGGGATGTTACTGAATAATATTACTCTAACAGTACAAAAATCTGTTGTTGTTGTTCAATCATGTGCACTCTTTGTGACCCCAGGGACCACATTATCCACGGTGTTTTCTTGGCAAAGATACTGGAGTGGTTGGCCATTTCCTTCTCCAGTGGACTAAGGCAAACAGAGGTTAAGTGATCTGTCCAGGGTCACACAGATAGTAAGTGTCTGAGGCTGGATTTGAACTCAGATCTTCCTGATTCCAGGCCCAGCACTCCATCCACTGAGCCATCTAGCTGCCTCAGCACAGAAACAGCATTACTGAAAATAACTGGTTCCCTTATGATGTTATTTCTTCACATGATCCCTTCCCAAAGGTCTGAATGAACTTATTAACTTGCAATGACCCTGATGAAGTATCCCAAAGAATCAAAAAATCACATCTAGATTCATGTAGTTTGGGGCATATTTAATCAATCACTCAAGTGCTAACTACATGCTAGTCAAAGCTCGAGGCCCTCGAATGGGGTTGGGGTGGGGTGAGGGGCGGGGCAGGGAATGGTGGGAGAATGGGGGAAGAGTTAGGAAGGATCCGGCCTTTCATTCAAAGGACGAAACTATCCCTACTCACAATGAGATTCCCATCAACTGAACTGCATTTATTTATCCTTTCTCAACTCTCTAGTCTTAAAAGCACTTCATAATATGACTGGGAGCCACAGAGACCAGCGAGCTCACTGGAAAATGGAGGCCTTCACTCTAATTTAGCTTTTGTGACCATTAACACTTGTCTCAATGTCTGGTAACGAGTGTTGGGATCAGAAAACAGCAGCAGCTCAAGGATTCTAAACCTTGTGTGCAGAAAGCTTAGACGTTTAAGTGGCTAATGGGCCCCCAAATTCTACCTCATACAAAACCTCACTGTCATGTAGTGAGGTGTTCAAAGTAGGAAAGTTGTGGATGCTGCAATGTGATAACAGTACCCTCAGGGCCTGCAAAAGATGAGCTACCTCACTTACTCACAGGCTACACTGAGAGAATACTAATACCCTTAGAGCATAGAACTCAAAAAAGTCATTTGATTTCAGTGAGTTACCCCTTCCTGGTTTCCAAAACAAAATGAAGAAAGCCTTGGGCTGTTCCACGTGACACCCCATACTATAGTCAATCAGCATGGTGGGTCAGTGCTAGGGTGTGGACGTACTATATGCTTTAGTTCTTGGTTCTGATCTGTAATTGCACCTGGGTAGGCACCTCATTTGGTCATCCTGAAGAGTTGCCGGGGGTTCAGAGAAATCAGATTGACCTACCCAGCATCACCCAGCTAACAGGTATCAGAGGCAAGACTCCAAGGCTCACGTCTCAAGGCTTTGCTTCTTACTAGCTAAAATGCAATATCATAAATCTGTCTGACTTCCAGGTGAGTGTCCCAAAGCTCTCTCCTCTCACCATCACCCTCCTCTCAATCCCGAGCAATTTCTGCATAAATCAAGGAGAACAAATATTGGAAGAATCCTTCAAATAGAACAAACCTTTGAGCCTATTTCACAAACATCAATGGGATCATTATCACCGCAGCAGTTGGTGGTACTGTCTTTATGACGAGGATCTTCCCAAGTCTAAAAAGAACAAAATCAGAAATGTAAATTAATGACCAAACTCTCACTCCAACAACTTCTCCCTTTGCCCTGTGACCATGAAGTTTTGCAGGTATCCACAATGTGAATGGAAAGATTCTCCTCTGTTGAGGCTTCACATAGGCTCAAAGTCAATATGCCAGTACATCCATAACTCCTACTACAATTGAAGCAGATTTTACAATATTTCCTCCTCCAGACTTCCATTTGTCTGTACAATCACATCTGGAAGTGGGTGGTGTTCCCAGACACACACGTTTCTTCAAGCTTAGTCAGCGTCTAAACTTATATTCTCGTTTCCAGTTCCCATACTGTGCCCCTGCCCTTCTCTGCCAGCAAGAATTTGGACTTTAATCAGTCCCCGTATAACAGTAACAGCCGAGCTGGCACTTTATCTGAGTGGAGAGGGGATAGGCTTGGAGGGGAACAAACTTTGTGCTCTTTAAATATCTTTTACCAGAAGAAACCCAGTCTCTTCTTGAGTAATATGAACTAAATAAAAGCAAGACTGCATCTATATTTTCCCCATTTTATTCCATTCATAGAAATCTTCCATCTCTGCCCCCGTGTCTGCCAGAGGTTTTCACAAGCCTACAGGATATTCCTAAATTCTCTGGTTCATCTAGAAATTGAGAAAAGATTGCATCCTGTTGACCTCCGAAATACATATGTGTATATGTTTTAGCTGTTTTGTGCTTGAGACTGGAGGTCTCAAACATGTAGCCTGCAATACTCCCTGTGGCTTGAAGGAGATTAAAATGTAATTGAGAACATTTAACAAAATAAATAAAAATAAAAAAGAAGATAGATAATATCAATATGTGGTTTTCTAAGTCAATATACATCCCTGCAGGGATCTTTACACATGGTTTAGTGGCCCCCTTCCCTTTCTCTTTGAGTTTGGTACCCCTTCTCTAGGCAACTATGACAGCAAATTATAGAAAAGTTGCTAACCTGCATTGTTAGAGGGAATTTCCTCACCTAACACTCAATGAAATCACAGGTCATCATCATCATCATCATCATTAATAACAATAATTACATGATCCTTTCAATTTAAACTGCCAGAAGACAGGGACATGAGCAGATTCAGAGCTGGAAGGGGCCTTAGAGATTTTAGAGATAAGAGAACAGGAAGTGCTGGAGCCAGAAATTTAAAACTAGGGACTCCAAGTCCAATTCCAGTGCCCTTTTCATTTATCAGGCCTATTTAAAATTTTGGATTCCATATATCACTGTCCCCTCCTTTGGGACTGATAACAGATTCCTTGAATTTTAGAAGTAGAAGGCACTTTAGAGTTGGCATCTAGTCAGAACCTCCAATTTTTTTCAGATGAAGAAACTGAGACCCAGGGAAATCAAGCTACTTGTCCAGGTCATACAGCTGGTCGTAGTCCATTATACTTTACACATTACACATTCATATACATTCTTAGGTATAGGTAGAATTTCTACCTACTCAAGTATTTTTTCCTTCTTACTTTCTACAGCCTACTGTGGAACAAAATGGACCCAACCAACCAATCAAAACAAAATCAACCAACCAATTCCAATGACCTATATTCACCATACCAAATTTTCTATACCCACTCAATTCACATCATTCATCTCAAAGTCCTTTATCTAATCTCATAATCTCAAGCAATATCTTCCCTTAGAAGGCCTAATCATTTTCAAATGCTATATTTGAAGGCAAACCACTTACTCTCCAAATGCCCTTGGGTAACTCACAGTCACCTCAATTTCCTCATCTACAAAATGAGGGGGTTGAACTAGATGACCTCTAAGATCTCTACAAGCTCTGTCTATAGCCATGATCTTTCTCTTTCCATTGTTTCTTTCTCTTTGCTTCCTTCACTTTTCAACGACCAAGGTGAAAAAATTATAAAAATCTGACAAGTTGGAAAGGACCTGAAGACTTTTCTAATCCAACATCCCAGCCAAAGCAAAGATTTCCTCTACAATTGCCCTGAAAGATGACATACAAAGTCTGTTTAAATACTTTCAATGGAGAGAAGTTCACTACTTCATATTCCATTGCTGAATCATTAAAATTGTTATAAAACATCTTCCTTAGCTTGCACTGAAATCTACTTAACTTCTCTTTCACTCATCAGCCCTTAACTTTTTACTTTTATCATAACCGTTGATGTTGTGCCTTTTCTTTAGTGATGTTCATATAAAACAGACTGGGAGACCAATGTGTTCAATTTTTGAGTATTGACTCAGCCTTTTCACTGCTAAGCTGCTAACTCTTTTTCTGCAAACTGACATAATGGATAGACACTAAGCTCAGAGTCTGGAGGATATGGGTTTAAATCCCATCTTATACGCTTCCTTGGCTGTGTGATCCTAAACAACTCACATCACCTCACTGTGCCTCAGTTTCCTCATCTGTCAAATGAGAAGGTTGGCCTCCTGGCCTCTGAGTTCCCTTCCTGATTGTGTGATCCTCTTTCTCTTTTCTGAATTTCTGCCTTTTGTCCACAGCTCAGAAGGGGATTATGGAAAGAAAAGTGACCTGGCCGTCAGGAGACCCGTGTTCTAGTCCTGATTCAGTCACGAACCAGTTGCGTGGCCCTGGGCACCTCGCTTCACTTCGCAAATCCTCCGTTTCCCTATATCAAATGAGGGTACTGGACCAGATGATCTCTAAGGGCCTCTTTGGCTCTGAAATTGTTAAGAGGTCTGAGTCTCCAGGGCAGGGACATGAAGAGAATCAAATGCTTTGCGAGCACGCCCTCTTGTGGGAAATGAGGGCAAATGTAGGCCCTGAAAATCAGGCCTGACCAACTGCCATTGGCCAAGCAGAAAGCCAGAGCTCCTGTGGAGAAGGAAGCTCTGAAAGACGGTCGTGAAAAAACATCTTTCTTCTCACTAATCTTCTGATGCCAGAGTTTCCTGCTCTATACTCAATCTACATCTCTAATCTAAGTTAGCTCCTCAAGTTATGGCATCAGCAACTTCAGGGGATCACAGATTGAGAGCTAGACGGGATGCCAAAGGCTCTGACAAGTTTGACCTCATTTTACAGATAAGGAAACTGAGGCCCAAGGAGATTATGTAACTGCCCAAGGTCCACAAGTAGTGAAAAGCTGGGCCAAGATCTGAATCCAGGTCTTCTGACTACAAATCCAGCACTCTGTGAACCATGCCGCCTTTCCTGGTCTTCTGTCGTGATCATCATGATGGCTATTACTTCTTAGCTCTAAGTAAACATGAGGTGTCTGCCTTCTCTTCAGTCTCAACCTGCTCCTTCTCACGTTCATTTAATGACAAACACCTGTCGCCCTCTGTCCTTTCATGTCTTCATCCATAATGTTGCTTTCCAATCTAGTCCTCCCTTCAACCTGAAATGCCTTTAGCTTTCATGTAAGACACTATATTCATTCATGAGGAAGTATTAGGATTCTCAGTACCAATGAAGGAAAATGATCATGTGGATTAAAACAAGATTTCCCTTAGACAACAGATATCTGAAGCCATCCTTGGGTATCATCTAATCATCTAGCTGGGGGGGGGGGGGGGGGCCACTTAGTGGTGCTCTTTAAACACTCACACAGAGAAGTACAATTGGAAGATAATTAGTTACATGTGGCTAATTTCAGTACCTCAGGGAAAACCAAGGATGATTTTTGGCCAATGCTAGCTACAACTTTGGGGAGATGCTACTGTTTCAGCAGGAAAAGCTATTACTTCTGAAGGTCTAAAGGGCTGCAAGTTTGGGATAATGACAGCACACTGGTGAATCACAAGTTAAGTGGAGAGACAGCCACTTGAGCAGCATTTCCCTGCTTCAGCGTTCTGCTAAGCATGGTTGGCTTGGTAACTGCTCTGTACAAATTTCTTTCCATTACGAGCCAAATCATAGGAGAAGAGCATAATCCCACACCAAGTATAACATAAGCAAGATGGCTGAACACAAAATGTTACCTGAGTAATAAATGCATCAAGCAAAGAGAAACAGCTACCTGACTTACTCAAGTGACTGGTCTCCAATTAATAATGATAATAACACTCATGGAGTGCGTTAAGGTGCACAAAGTGCTTCCTTTGGGTTATCTCATTCAAAAGCCTTGCTCATCATTGAGCTATGCTGTTCTTGGCCCAAGCAAGGAGTGCCCTACCGAACACAGCCTGGGGTAGAAGAGGAAATGGAGGCTAACGGCATTTCCATACTCTAGAAGGTCACTTATCTTGCATGTTCTATTTGGTAAATACTTCTGTGAGATTCTACCTGGAGCAGACATTTTTCCTGCAAATTATGAATAAGAGGGATGGATTATTTAGGATTGGAAAAGACTCAAAAGATTCTTTAAGCCAATAACCAAAGTTTCCTAGCAATCAGTGACTAATGGTAGGATCACTGCAACAAAGAAAATCTTTCTCAAAATATCCTATACTAAAAAAAGACCCATTTAAATTTCCCCAATGCTGAGAGTTTGGGACTACCTCCAAGCACAGGGAGGTGCCAAAAAGGTTCCCACCATATTGCTGTTCCATGTGGTTAATATGTTTCACTATTCATATTAGTAGAATACCAGGACTAGCTTATCATGGCAGACTATTCTTCTCAGGGTACCAAAAGCTGGGTTTAAATAATTTATACTTAGGTAACACTCTATGGTTACACTGAGCTTTGTATCTATTAGCTCATTTGCTCCCCAAACAGCAGGAAGGGGGTGCAAATATTTTTTGCCGTTATTTTACAAATGTAGCAGTGTAGGGTAGTGGGCAGAGAGCCGATCCTGAAGCCAAAAACACCTGGGTTCAGGCCCTGCCTGACATATAGACAAATTATACGACCCCAAGCAAGTCCCTTCACATCTCAGTGCTGTAAGCAACTTTTTTAAGACTATGAGGCAGCTAAGTGGCTCAGTGGATAAAGTGCTGGGCCTGGAGTCAAGAAGACCTGAGTTCAAATCCAGTCTCAGACATTCCTAGCTGTGTGACTCTGGGCAAGTCACTTAAACTCTGTTTGCCTTAATCCACAGGAAAGGAAATAGCAAACCACTCCAGTATCTTTGCCAAGAAAACCCCATGGCCAGTTTCACAAAAAGTCAGATGTGACTGGACAACATGACTCTGACCTGCAGCAAATGCAGATTTGCACTGATAGAGGGAATGCCTTCACCCTACACCATTAAAATCACAGGTCCAGTCCACACTCTCGCCCTTTACAAATGACAAAACTGAGGTTCAAAGAAGTTAGGATTAGCCCGAGGACATGCAGTGGCATAATGGGGCTTAACCAAATTTATAATATTGTTTCCATGTGATGATGCATTCAGCTGTGCAGGACAAGGAGGGAACACCAAAGTCTTGTGAACTTATCTGATGGCTCTCCTCACTTCAAGTCTCTCCCCACTCCACTCCATCCTCTACTCTGCTACCAAAGGGATGTGTCCACGTCAACCTCCCCTCCCCATTCAATAAAAACTCTAGTGGTTCCCTATGACTTCTAGGATCAAATAGAAAATCCCATACTTGGCTTTCAAAGCCCTTCATAGTTTGGCCCCTTCCTACCTTTCAAGTCTTCTTGTACCTTCTCACCCTCTCCAGATTCTATGATTCAGTGACACTGGCTTCCTTGCTGTCCCTCTCACGGGACAATTCATCTCCCAACTCCATACATTTTCACTGGATGTCCCCGACTCTTGGATTGTTCTCCCTCCCTATCTCCAGCTCTTAGCTTTCCTGGCTTTCTTCAAGTCTCAGCTAAAATGTCACCTTCTACAAAAAGTCTTTCTCAGTCCAGCCACATTGGGCTTTCTGTCCCCCCGGCAACACTCTGCACTCTTCTGCCTCCACTCAGACTATCTCCTGTGCCTGCAATGCCCTTCCTGCCTCTTGCCTCTTAAACTGTCCTCATCATTTAAAACCTAACCCAAATGTCATCATTTCCTCCACAAGGCCTCCCTGATATCCCTTCTCCTCAAGCCTCAAAGGCAATGTGTTGGACAACTCTTTAATACACAATATTGGGTAAGTGCCTTGTAGCTATCTGTGTTCACATCCTAAGCCCCTCCTCAAAGATAAACTTGAGGAGCACAGAAACATTATCTTATGTAAACTCTGTATGTCCCCCAGAGCCTGGCAGAGTGCTTTGCATGCAGCAATAACTTAATAAATGTTTGTATTTGCATATACGAGCAGCACTGTATGAAGAACAGCACCTGTTTAGAGAGAAGGAACCTGGGTTCAAGTCTTGGCTCTGTGACATTATCTGTGGGACCCCGAGCAAATAATTTAATCTCCCTGAGCTTCAGTTTGCTCATCTATAAAATGGGACTAATAAGATTCAAACTATCAACCTCACAGGACTATTCTAAGGAAATTGTTTTGCAAACTCAATGAATTCAAGTTCTTATTCTTCATGAAGTGTAACTCAGGGATTCCCTATACCGATTTTAGACAAGGCTGAAGGAGAAGCTGCCACAATCACCTCCATTTGTCCTTGAAAACTGTGCTCCTTCACTATAAGCAACTCTGCAAAATTACTTGCTATATGAAATAAAAATATGATCACAAAAGCCAACTCATTGACTTTGCACTCAGAGTAGACTCAGTAATGCAGTGGGAAAAGGTTCATATTCCACCTCCTAACATTTTCTACCTGTGACTTCAAACAAGTCACTTAACCTCACCAGGTCTCAGTTTCCTCAACTGTAAAATGAGGAAGCTGAACTAGACAACCTCTAATGTCTTTCCAGGCCAAATCCTAGGATATTCCCAGCCAAAGCAACTCCTTCACATTTGATACTTAAGTGCTAGTACTAGAAGTAACCCAGGAAAAAGTCACATATCTCAAGCTATGAGACCCTGACACCTAGAATCCCAGAAGACTCAAATGTAAAACTACACGATCCTGGGCAACTTAGGGTCCATATTTCCAGGAGGAAAAAAAAAAGCATCACCTAATTAAGTTAACAGGAACAGGGGCTAGGCTTGTTATGGCACTGGTAAAGGGAACTCCCAAAGGAGGAAAAACCTTTCACCTTCTAAGTAACTTACAATTTTGGAAAGCTGCTGGAGCCCTTCGAAGGTAAAGGACTACTCAGTGTCACTCAATCAGGATGTGTTAAAAAAATGGGACTTGCAGGTCTTCTTGGCTCCAACATCAATCAATTCTCCACCTACTAGGGCTGGGTCTCAATTAAATTAGTACATCAGATAAAAGTGCTTTAAATGCAAATGTTCCCATAGGAGAATATCTAATTGACAGGATTTAAAGAGCTAAGTGGCTGGAGTTCCTTTATCAGCCCCGTCCCTTCACACATTCTTCTTCTCCTCCTCCACGGTGTGATCAAGGCAGCCCCCTTCAGCCTTTCACAGCCCCCTTCACTTACTCACAGGTCAACCAGGCTGCATTTTCAAGCCGCAAGGCTGACAGAGAAACCTGCTATTTCCATGACTTCAATAGGAATTCTAATTCCTTTCAGCACACCACTTTAACCCAGAATGTATCCATGTGGGTGGCCTCACTGCATCAAAGACAGCCTGGCCCTTCAGAAAATTGTTTTCTCTTTTCTTTTCTTGTCAATGTTTATTCTACATGGGCAGCTGGTCTTAAGGGCTGGATAAGGCAATGCCCCATTCTCAGATATCTGCTAAATAGCATCTTGGAATTTTATACAGACTTCAAAAAAAACCCAAAAACTCAATGACAACAAACAAAAACTCCCAACTCCAGACAGATGGGGGTTCCAATGGCCTATGTAAACACGAAGGCAGATGTTTCTAGGTCCAGTAGGGCTCAGCTCGGTACATTCTCATTTTTATTCATTCTGGTGCTCTGGAAGGAGTCACCTCCTCACTGGGAGGGAACCAGCATGAAAGGCAAGCAAAGGGGTGTAGAAGACAAGAAAAGAAACAGGGAGAGAGGGAAAAAGACAGATGCTGCTTTCCCATTACTCACAATGCTACCTCAGTGCTCACTTCCCTCCTTTTCACTGTTCTCCACTTAAAGATTATAAACACCAAACACTGAACAGTCGAAGTGAATAAGCTTACTAAGCTAATTCATAATGAGGTCAGGGAAAGAAAAAATCAGTTGAGAAGAAAACACACCACTCTCTGTTAAAGATGTAAAAAGACTCTTTTACATAAATATATTGTATGTTTCACATTCAAAGGGAAGACTGTAAATAAAATTTGGCTTAAACACTTTTGACTAACATGGCAGAGTCATGTCCAAAAGGAGGAAAAATATATATATAAAATACCAAGTTGGAGTTTTCCTAAATGCTGAACTTCATGAAATTGTTTGTGGAAATATACATGATTTAGAACAAAATTTATTGATATAATAAAACTTTGCATTAAAAAAATCAAATTTACAAATCTCTCAAACAGACATATCCTTACAGCTGATTTAAATTCATGCAGTGCACAGGATTTATAAGGCAATTTACTCAGAAGACAGAAAAGTTTCGCCATTAGAACCAAAATGTTACCTGAGGGAGGGCACCATAATTCCATATATAACCCTTGTGAGGAAAGATATTTGCCACATAACGTAGCTTGCCTTTCTTTATATCTTGTTTAATGGGATTCAATGGCTCCTTGGTGGCAATCTAAAGAGATCATAGGAAAAAAAAAGGAAAAAAGTCAAATGAATAGCAATTAATCCTCTATCCAAGTGGCTGAAAAGTTCTTTAAAAGTCTGCTATTTTTAGACCAACAAAGTTCATATAATCTATTCATGTCATAGGCTAAAAAAAAAAAGTCAAGACTGTTCATACTATGAATCTACAAGCTAATCTTTACAGGTTTGGAAAAGAATGTCTGGAAAAGAAATGTTGAGATTTTACAAGTCTATCAATCTCAAAAATCTAACAAGTAGGAAGATTGGAATGGTCAACAGAGTATGATTAGTCAACTTACTTTTTTTTGTTGCTCATCTTAAGCTTTTTTAAATCAATGTTATGATAAAATTAATTGGGAGGCCATGGTCTAGTTGGTTGGTTCAAAGTCACATTTCTACTAAGCTTCACTAAAATAGTTTCAAATTATTGAAAGGAAAAAAATTACCCATAATATCAAGTTAATAAAAATAAGCATTAGCATGCTTGATGAAGAAAATTATTTGCATTGGGTGAAGTTTCAAATTTTGGGATCCTGTGTCTTCCTTTACTAGGCAAAGGAGGAAAAGACTGTGAAATATTGTAAATAAAGAGAGCAATAATCTAGTGTTCATCATTATTATTATCATTATTGAAAACCCTAATAAAGGCTGATCATTATAAACAGGTGCAGGAGGTACTTCCACACATTCTGAGAAAAAGACTTACCAAAAAAAAAATACCTAATTTAAAAGCTAGAATTAACATTAACACTAGAAATACTAGAAAGTAGAAATGCTTTGGATAACTCAACAGAAACAGTTGCCACAAATTAAATCCTACTTTGCTCTGCAAGTGGTCTTGCTGAACACTTCAGAGTATGAGGGGAAGCTCTGGAGGGGCCTTGGTCTGAACATCTTCTTCTGAAGAAGATTCAGAATGACTAATCAGCAGAAGAGCAGATGTTCTTAGATAGTCATCGTAAATCAAGCATTCCCCTGGAAAACTCTATCACTCCCGCATGAGCAAAATCTAAAGGGAGAATTAAGTCCTTGGAAACCAAAACTGGCATCACTCCCAAATAAATAGATTTCAGGGCCATCACTGAACTAAATATAACTCAGTGGCTGCTTAGGTCACCCTTGAAAACAGTGTTTGCCACTTCTCAAGGTGGAGGGGAGGATGGGGGAGGAGAAGGGTCAGTTCAATTCTCACATACAGAGGTCATTTACGATACAAAATTAAGTTAATAGATTTGCACTGGAAAAAAAAAAACAGATAAGGACAAGTGCAACTGCATCCACCTGACAACTAAATTGTAAATCCTTTTTTTTTTTTTTAAACGTATCCTGGGGCCGTTTTCAGAGTTCTGAGAACCTGGCTTGAGGTTCTGTCTCTGGAAAATATTAGTTGTGCGACTTCAGGCAAGTCATTCTCAGTGCCTTCAGTGATGCTTTAACAATATGAATGTCTAAGGGTTACGGGTCTGCAACGGTAGAGGGAGTGTCCACACTGGGAGTTCTCTATCCTGATGATATCATAGGTCATAGACTCACACACGCAGAGCTGAAAGAGACCTCAGAGACCATCTAGTCCAACCCCCTCATTTTACAAATGAGGAAACTGAGGCACAGGGAGGTTAAGTGATTGGCCCAAGATCACGTTGGTAGTTCAGATCAATAGAGTTTTTCTTTTAACCAAATGGAAAATAAGTTCAACAAAAAAGGTTCATAAATTATAACTTTTGTCCTCATTTAAAAAAGCAATGGTCAAATATATTGAATTTTGTGGGAAGCCGCTTAACTAAAAGACCACGTATGTTCTGGATACTTAATAATGAAGTTATAATTTCCTTTGATATTAGTAGGATATATTCAATCACATACCTCCATTTTGGCATTTGTCCAACGAGGTACTTCTACGACCATATTAAACACTGCCTGTGATAATAACAATAATAAAAGAATTTAAAACCTATCAACTCATAACATCTCAATTTATGTGCTTCAAAATATGCTTCAGGTTTTTTTCTTTTCCTATGAACATCAACCTCATCTAAGAAAAATTCTTACTCCAATTCAATGAGCCAAAGTCTCCAATTTCCTAAAAACTAAGAGGAAAATAGTGTCTAAAAAAATATAACTACATTCTCCAATTTTCCATGTCATCACAACCATGGAAATTCAAGTCAGAGGGCCTCGAGTCAAATTTCAGATCTGCCACCGAATACCTGTGTGACCCTGAAAGAGTCACTTACATTCTCTGGGTCTCATTTCTTCATCTGTCAAATGAGGAGTTCGGGCTAGATGTCCTTAAAGGCCCATTCTGGCTCTATGATGAGATCCTATGATGAGAATCCTAGAAGATCTGAGCTAGAAGAGACCTATGAGATTATTTTGCCCAATCCTCTCATTTGACAGATAGGTAAAATGAGGTAGAGTGAGGTGAAATTACCTGTTTTTGTTTGTTGTTGTTGAATTTTTTTTTTTTAAGTTCTATATGAAATTCCAAGATGCTATTTAGCAGATATCTGAAAATGGGGGCATGGCCTTTTCCAGAACTTAAGACCAGTTGCCCATACGGAATAAACATTGACAAAGAAAGGAAATAAACACTGAAAAGAAAGGAGAAAACAAATAGTCACATGACTACTAAGTGGTAAAGCCAGCATTTGAACGCTGATCTCCCTTCTCCCAATCTCCCTTACTACAGAGAAGAGTTACGTCCGGAAATGAATTCCGTAGTGCAGTTTAGTAGATAGTCGGAAGGCATGGGGGCTCTAGTCCCATCTCCATTTAACCACTTAAGCTTCTCAGGTGAAGTTTCTTCATCTTTAGGTAATAATTGCCCACTTCACAAGACTATCTTAAGGATCAAAAGAAAGGAAGCTTGGGGAAAGCTGAAACTTGAAAAGTATAAAATATTATACCAATGTACAAATTATTATTATTAAATGCAAAATTAGTAGAAGTAGTCATTAAAATTTGATCTCACAGGCAGCACAATTAAGAGTAGTCTCAGCCAATGTATTGCCAAACTCTGCAAGCCAGAAGGTAAGAGACCCTAGAGTTAGCTGCAAAACAAGCACATTGCTTCATTTACCATTTCTGAACTTTATGAATGCCCTGCATGGCTACAAAAGTATAGTTTCAATCAAAAGTGGTTCTAGGACTATGGTGGGTTCAAAGGTCTCCTTACCCCCACCCCCCTCAGTGGTCCTATCAAGACAGCTTCTCAAGATAAGGTTAAGTCACCCAAAGGAAGTGCTCTAACAGCCAATCTCATCATTGCTAAATAATGGCTTAGATAGAGCTTTCTTTAGCCATGTCTGAAGTTTTTCAGAGGCTGAAACAAAGAAAGTTCTTTACTCACAATTAGATGGAACTACAAAGAAACACAAAGGCACTGAATGGTGTTTTTATGAAGCTGCCCCTAGCTGTGGCTCAGGGATCCATATGGCAGGACTGCCGCATGCTAGTTATAAGAGGGGAGAGGCTAAACCTGAGCCTGGATTTCTCTCGTTGCTCTGATTCTCAACAATTATTCCCCCAGAGCATGTCTCATCGCCTGTCTCAAGCAACTGCAGACACAGCCGCACCATTATGCTTCATTTTCTATGCTCTTTCGTGAGGCACCTCTGCACCTGTTTAAATATGTCTGAAGTCATCGTTATAAAGGAAAACCTAAGTAAATGGCAGATGTTCACATAATTTATTCATCTCAGAAAGCCTGGTTACTAGAGAACAAATGCTTTGGATGAATGCATAGAGGGTAACAGAGAAGACCACACTAGTGACAAGAAATGGAGTTTTATACAATGCTAACTACCATCACCACTCACAGAGCTCAGAATGCGGCCAAAGGACCATCGATGAGGGCTGAATTTTAAGCTGGCCAAGCACGAGCTCCCCCAAAACCTCTCTCATTCTGGTTCTGCTCACTGAGGACTAATTCCCAGCCTGCCTACTTGCTCTTCTACAGTGAAAGGCACGTGCTTACAATAAAGGGTAAGAAGATGACATTTTTCTGATCGTTTTTCCTAAAAGTTCGTTTGTAAGTTAGTTGCTCGGAACTCTGAATGCATTTTCTCATTGATCAATCATTGAATCAATTAATCAATCAATAAACATTTATTAAGCACCTACCTCACGCCGGGCACTACGTTAGGGGCTAGAGACACAAAGACCAAAATGAAATGGTCCTTGCTCGCTATATTGTAAGATGCAATCCTTTAAATGACTGGTTAGCTCACAAAAGCCTCCCTACCACATAACCCAGCCCACTCCTGAAACAGTACTAACAGTCAGTAGCCCAGGGCACTCTCCCCAAATCCCAAGCCCCCTTGAACTCTCTTAGCTTGAGCCCCTCGGAGTCCTAAGCCTAGGATCTGCGGGGGTGGGGGTGGGGGGTGGGGAAGAGAGAGCAGGAAGACGGGGAAGACTGTGTGCAAGCAGCTCCCGTGGCGGTGAGGACAGGATTCGGAGCACACGGGACAGTAGCCAGTCCTCCGGCACCTTTGGGTGAGGACAGATTAGCCAGGTCTCCATTCAGTTGGACAGTTATTCATGCACTGGAAAGGGAAAGCTGACCTCATCCAATTTACCTGCAAAACTGCTCTCTCTTATCTCACCTACTGCTGGTCACCAAGTACAAAACACGTTTCTCAATCTGACTTAAGTGTAATTTTTTAAAACGGAAGGTGTTGGAGCTCTTTCTCTTTGCTTCTGGATAGGGTAAAGATTCATGTTCACCCACAGCATAGGTGCCACGCACTGAGCACTGAGAGGGGGAAGGCTTCCTTCCCCTGCTCTCCTCTTCTACCTTGGGGCCCCCAGAAGCCAGCTCTGGGTAGCTGGTTATCCTGTCTCATTTGTCCTTTTCCACTCCTGGTGCACGGGGTAGAATTCCCACAGGACAGGGAATCAAGCCCTGGGGATCTTGAAGCCAGGATTCCAGGCCCAGATGTTGTAGCCAAGAGGAAGCCCTAAGAAACCAGGGACTCCAGCCCAAGGAGGGCTTTGGACTTGGAACATGGGAGTGTGCAAAGCTGTGAAGTCAATTCCTTTCCCTTCCCCAGTGTATGAGATGGTCATGGGATGGGACAGCGGATTTAATGTCCCCAGGTTTGGGGGGGATGTTTGTATGTTTGTTCTTGCTATTCCTTTGTAAATGTTCCTTGGACAGGAAGGAAGGAAGGAAGGAAGGAAGGAAGGAAGGAAGGAAGGAAGGAAGGAAGGAAGGAAGGAAGGAAGGAAGGGAGGGAGGAAGGGAGGGAGGGAGAGGGGGGAGAGGGAGAGGAGAGAGAAAGAAAGTGAGTGTCAGGGGGTTTTAGTATGAATCCTAGCTCTACTACTACTTCCCATGTGAGGTTGACAAGTCATTTAACCTTTGGGGGGGGCCTCAATTTCTAAAACTGCAAAACAAAAAGATGAGACCTCTCAAGATGACCCTTTAACTCTAAATCCGTGCCCCTGAGGAGTGCTTTAAGAGCCATAAAGCATTTTTCTCACAACAACCCAGTCAGGTAAACAGTTCAGCTCACATCACCCTTATCTTACAGATGATAAGACAGGGTCCTTGAGAAACGAAGTGGCTTGCCCAGGGATCATTCAGCTGGCCTTGGGTCAAAGCCAGGTCTCTCCTCCAGAGGTCAAATCCAGTGAGAACCCCTTTCTACTACACCACACTGCCTCCAACAAAGGAAAAAAATTAACTGAACATCAATCAATAGATTAGAAGGCATTTATTAGACACTTCTATGTGCCATATACAAGGCTAAGCACTGGGGATACAAAGAAAGACAAAAGCAGGCCCTACACCCTCAAGGAGATCACATTTTTTATATAGCAAACATTTTTTAGATAAATAGATAGATAGATGATACACATATGTGTGTATATCTACACACACAAACATATAAAAATATATGTATATGTATGAAATGTAAGTGTATATATGTATACATATGCACAAATATGTATGCATACACATATGCACATGTATACATACGTGTATACAGTCACACAAATATGTATCTATTTGTATGACTCCAGCTATTAATAAAAGTCATTACCAATATTTATATAATGCTTTAAGGTTTGTAAAGCTCTTTACATACATTATCTTATTTGATCCTCACAACAACCCTAAGAAGGAGATGTTATTATTTCCATTTTACAGAAAAGGAAATTGAGGTTCAAATATGCTAAGTGACTTGTCCAGGGCCACAAAGTTAGTAAGTGTGTGAGGTCACATTTGAACTCAGGTCTTCCTGACTCAAGGCCCAACGATTTATCCACTACTAACCAAACTCCTTCTCTCAGGTTCTTAAAATAAAATGGTTTCCTCTAAGGTTTAAATATAAGCCCTTACTCTTTGACCAGAACAAATCAACCTGTATCTTGGGTTATTCATCTACAAAATGGGACAACAACATTCGCTCTGCATGCCTCACAGAACGAGAAGCACAAAATCAGAGACACAAGCAAAAACATTTTAGAGCACTATACAAATATCAGTCATGATTGTTATGATGATCTTAAACAATGAAAGTTATTTACAAAAAACAAAAGCCTCTAGACATACGTCGTGCTCACTAGTCCGAGCTTTCTTTGCAGGAATGCCATTCTCCTATGTATGAGGAGGGGGAGAAATACACTTATGTTTGCACATCTCTTTACAAAAGATCACCAACTGCTTCTGGGGCATTTCCAACTGGATGTCCTAGAGGCATCTGAAACGATTCCTTACCTTACCCCAAACCCCACTTATCTCCGTAACTTCCCTGTTTCTGTACAAAGTATCAACATCATCTCAGTCACTCAGCTTTGTAACCTCAGAGTCATTCTCAATTCCACACTTTCCCTCAATTCCCCCCACAAGCACCCCCACCATATGCCATCAGTTGCCAACTCACTCGGATTCTACCTTCACAACATCTCTTGCACCTGTTCCCCCACCTGGGTCAGGCCTTTAAACTTTGTTTCCAGGACTCTCGCAATATCCTCCCAATTGGTGTCTCTACCTCAATCTCTTTCCTCTCCAATCCATCTTTCAAACGGCTTCCAAAGTGATATTTCTAAAGCACAGGTCCAGCCTTGTCACTGCCTTACTCAAAAACTTCCAGTGGTCCCCCAGGATAAAATACAAACTCCTCCAGTCAGTTTTGAAGGTCCTTTACAATCTGCCTCAAGCCTACCTTTCTAGACTTATTACATATCACTCCTCTCTGCCCACTCAACAGTCCCACCAAACTGGTCCATGTGGGGCTACTCACACACAGATTCCATCTGTTCAGGCTGCCTCTCAGGCCTGGAACACACTCCATCCTCACCTCTGTCTCTTAAAATCCTTACTTTCCTTTAAAGCGCAGCTCAAACACCAGCAGAAATCCCCTTGTATTTACTTTGTACATATTCTATATGGTCTAATGTATACATAATGCACATATTTTTTTAAATTCATCTATATCTACATATAAATAAATATCCATCTATATCGATATATCTGTATAACTAAATTTTATGTACATCTATATTTATCTATATAGATCTATATATAGCTATATTTTTATATTATCTATTTATCTATTATAAACGTCTATATCTACATAAATATCTATACTGTTCTATATATCTACATTTTATCTACATTTTTCCTTTATCTATAGTTATGTATCTATATAGAGATATATCTATATGTGGAAGCATATATACATGCACACATATGTGAGGTCTGTATATGTATATTTATATGTATATATATATATATGCATGTTACATGTGTGTGGATATACAGATTTAGATAGACATTCACACACATAATGCAAGTACCCAGAGGGCAGGGGCTGTTTAATTTTTGTTACTGCATTCCCAGAGTCTAGGCCAGTGCCGTTAATAAATGCCTGTTGATTACTGTAATAAAGACATGTTTGTCAGTGTTGTTCTATATTGCCCGGCCAGAAGATTAAAATAAAACTGCAGTAAGAGGTGACAACAGAACCAAACTGCAACCAACAATTAATCACTGAGCACCTACTGCACGCTTAGAACTGCCAGTATATTCACGTAACACTGATATCTTCTATGAATATGACACCAAGTGCCTTATGGATCAAATGTCCTACAAGGTTAAATCCAAAGAGGGCATAAAAAAGCGTTGGTTTTTTTTAAAATGAATCGTGAACCATTTAAAAACGTCTGAGTGGATTTGTTTGGTGTGTTCTCATAAGTTTAAAAATAATTAAAACAAAACCAACTCTATCAAGGGTCTTTTTCCCAAGTCTTTCTTCAAGAAGCAAATCCAGTGCTTGAACTAAAGGCAAGTGCAGCAGCAGCTTCCAGCGATTACGTATAAAACAGTCACTTCATTATCGAAATGAAACTCCAGGGAGTGTGACTAACAAGACGTGAAAGTACTCGACTGCAGCCCATGCCTTGTAATTCTCCAAAGGTGTGATTACCACCCCTCTCTTGAGCATCCTTGCTGGTTTTAAATTAAAACAGCCTCTGGGATGGGGCGGGAAGGAGAACTATGCCCCTTACACCACCTTACACATTGTGTACTTTTGCACAGAAAAACAACCCATCATGAAGGAAATGAACATAATTCAGGAATAAATGTAGGAAAAGGGACTGTTATAAGCCAGCCCTAAAACATTATTTTTGTCTTCCAAACAACCACACTCCAAAGTGCAAATAACAGTGGTTCTAATCACTATTGGCTGCGTGAGTAAAGCCTATTTGTGCGACCCCTGTGGGACTGAAAACTGTTTGCAGTCACTGTGACAATCTAAGTGTGCCATTATCCCTACCCCACTGCCAATCATCCAGGACTCACAGGGCTTCTCCTAGCCTTGGCTCATTGTAATGTTAAGAAAGCCCCAACCTCAAGCTAAATTTTTCTGTGTAACACAAAATTCTCAAACCCACTGTGGTCACCTCCTAAATCACTCCTCTCAAAAAGGAAGTCATTTTGATACTTTGGACCAAATATGTTTGTCTGTATTTTTTTAATTACATGACATATTCAATTTAATTCAATAAATATTTACTAAGTGCCAAGCATAGTGCTACGTCACTTAACTTTGCGGAGCCTCAGTCTCCTCATCTTCGATAAGACAGTATTTGGACTAGATATCTTCTAAGCCTCTTTCCAGTTCCAGCTCAATGAACCTATGCTCCAGATGTCCTTCTGCACATTCCAAGGGCAACCACTGGGGCCCCGATGACTACTTCTCCTTTTGCTTCTACTCTTCCAAGCTTATGATGCTCCTAATTCCCAATGATTCACCACGCCCTAGAGGTGGCAGCCACACTACGAGCAAGGACAGACACTCCAGTATTCCGTTGTTATTGTTGCTGTTCAGTTGTTTTTCCATCACGTCCGACTCTACATGACGTCGTTTGAGGTTTTCTTAGCAGAGAATGGTTTGCCATTTCCTTCTCCAGCTCATTTTACAGATGAGGAACTGAGGCAAACAGGGTTAAGTGACTTGCCCGGCGTCGTAGCTAGTGGGTATCAGAGGCCAGATCTGACCTCAGGAAAATGAGTCTTCCTGCTCTAGGCCAGGCGCTCTATCCACTGCACCACCTGAAGAACAACCATGTACAGCCTGTGACTGGTAGAAAGTCTATTTCAGACTCTACCTCTTCATAGCTGGCTTTGTTCTCTAAATCAAGGCTCCTCAACCTGGGGCGTGTGGACTTTTTAAAAAAACCACTTCTATACCCATATTTCAATAGAATTGCTTTTCTATAACGGTAATCCTGTGTATTACTGCATGTATTTAAAACCATTATTCTGAGGCGCCCATAGACTTCTGCAGACAGAAAGCCCCTACTCCACAATGAGGAGCACTAGACCCTTCAATCGGCTTAGCATGGGATGCAGCAGAAGCCTTACTCAGCTGCTCCGTCCCATTCTGCTCAGTCTGACAACCACAAATAAATCCAGCTGAGGGACCTTCAACTAAGTTCACCCCCTTACAGTGCTACATCAGCGACAGCAGTTCTAGATTGTGCTCTGGAGAGGATTCTTGGAGCCTTCCTTTGCTTAGGAAACCTGATTCTGTAACAAAACCATGTGCCTTAGCACCCACGTCTACTTCCCCATCAGGACACAGTGAAGAATGTTGGATCTGAGCACCTGAGTTTGAGTCTTGAGTCTATTTTACCTGGATGGCCTTGTGCTAATAACTTAACCTCTCTGAGCCTCAGTTTCCTCATCTGTAAAACGAGTTTAAACTAGATGATCTCTAAAATCCTTTTCAATTCCAAATCTATGATTCCACGACCCTATCACCTCCAAAGCACCAAACATGACCGTGGCCCTGAGGTCAATTTCAACTCTATTAATCCACATACAATTCTTTCACTTACCCAGGCCTTCTCCCCACGATCCTCCACCATCCTCTGGTTCCTCACCCACTCCCTCCAATTGTGCCATAGTACATGGAGCACTGGACTTAGAATCGGGAAGCCCTGAGTCTGAATCCCATCTCAAACATTTCCTAGCTATTCTAGGTTTGGATAAATCTGGGTAATTCACTTAACCTATTTCAGTATATAAAACAAAGATGATACTAGCAACAATCTCAGTATCTAAAATAAAGGTAATCTTAGCACAAGGTTAGGGACACTTTGCATATCTTAAAGGACTATATGTGTCAAATATTTTGAATTTGGAAGGCCTCACTTTCAGCTGATTTCCTTCTCCTGTAACTAGGACAGCCCAGTTTTCATATTATCAAAGCTGAGACCAAATATCATATCTAAATTTATCTTTTAATAGTGCCACCAAAAAAAAAAAAACACATTATTGAAGGCAGAAAAAATTCAGTGATGTTGGTAGTAAATGAATGTATATTATTCAATAAATCCATTTTTTTTTACATTAGTTACCTATATACTTTTATGTGGTACCCACTACTCAGAAACTCCCCTTTTCCCAACTATCAGCTCTGCCCTCTATTCCCATTCATCTCTGCAGTATCTAAACTCCTGCAGTTCTGGTGTCTCTAGAGCTTCATTCCTTACTTGATAGCAAATTCTAGGAATCTCTCCCCCACTCCTTATCCCTTTAACAGACCTTCTCCTAGAGATTACTGTCTTCAATTATCCTGTCATGGGGCTGTATGCCTTGGTAGTATCTCCCAATCTTGTGGTCTTGTTATAATCTTCTCTGTACATCCCAATCTGCTCCTTGATGATTTTAGGAGAATCTTTTTAACCCCAAAATAATTAAGGGTAATACCTCTTTAGATTTAGCCTTCAGAGGAATGTCATGAAAAGGGGAGATGTAGTGACCAGCTACATTCTCTGCAAGATAAAAACAAACAAACAAACAAAAAAAACATTAAAACCGAGGACCACACCCTATGTCTAAGCCATCAGGAACTGATGTGTGTCAATGAACATTTTTACTCAAAACACTGTTCTCTGGAAATTAAAGCTGGCTTTAAAAATCTGCTCCAACCTGCTCAGTCAGAAAGCAATTCGTAATAAACCAATGGCCCGTTTCCAAATCTTCCTTTCAGCCCCATCGCATCCAGTTCCATGGCTGTAATCCTATGCAAATGGTAAATCAAACCAGAGTCTGATTTACCATGTTCAGAGTCTGAAAATGTCTCTCAATGGCCCACTCAGACCATGTAGAAGCCCAATTGACTGAATCTGCCTGGTACTCACATCTCCTCAGTGCCCTCTGCCCCTCCATGGACCTTCTGGCTAGACAGGACCATGAGCTCTAGGGCCTCTGTTTAAGGAGGGGGTTCAACATAGTCTCTTCCCATTTCCCAACAGCTACACTGCTTTTGGACTTCTCTGGACGTTCTTCACCCCACCCCCACCCACCCACCTGGGGCTGGATAATAATAATCATAACAATAACAACAACAACAAACATTTATATAGAGCTTACTACATGCCAGGCACTACTGCTAAGTGCTTTACATTTACCGTCTCACTCGATCTTCTCAACAACCCTGGGAGGTCGGTGCTATTTGTAGACATATTTTACAGATAAAGAAATTGAAGCAGAGAATAGGTGGGTACCTACCTCTCCTTTTCAGTTTCCTTTTGTTTGCTGTCTTCCCCTATTAAATTGTAATTTAATACAGGGACTGTCACTTCTTTTTTTATTTTTATATTTTAATTTTTAGGCAGTGTTAAGTATTTGGTCTGAGGCAAGATTTGAACTCAGGGCCGGTGCTCTATCCACTGCGCCACCTAGCTACCCCTGTCTTTCCTCTTTTTTAACTTGCATTTGTACCCCCAGCTCTTAGCGCAGTGCCTGGCACACAATAGGTACTTAATAAATGTTTATTGACTGAGTGATTTGAAATATTGGCGAGGAGACAGCACTTCATTCACTTCCAAGTGAACTGAATTAAAACTGATGTAAATGGCTAGAAAGCTTTAGTAGGTAAGTAATTTCATAAGTGTGGCTATTCCCTCCACTGCTGCACACGTCCATGACCTTAGAGAAGACCTATGCATTAGGGAGCCCTCTGTCCTCCCAGAATCCACATGAAGAAAAAAAGGAAGAAAGGTACAGGTGGAGGTACTATAATATTCCAAAGAACAATCTTGCAAATTACTCTCTGGATCACCCCAAGTGTGAGAGGATATGACCACGAAACTTCAAGTCTGAAATATCTTTAATGATCCCAATTTTTTTCCTTCATTTTGTGGGCTAAGAAATACATTCTATATACTATGGATGTATCAACTTTTCAAAAACAATACCTTTAATTAGAAAATCATAAAAATGAAAGGCCTAAATCTGTATCCTGGACTATTTTAACTTTGGCATTTCTCAATTTAGGGAATGTTTCCCTCCAATTACTTTTTTAACATAGTTCTCAAATTCAGTTTTTCAAATGTTTAAACTAACAAGGAGGATAGGGGTGAAAGGATCGATCCACTTCTTAGCTTTTTATCTTGCTGCCAACGGCAACAACATGAAAAAGAAGGCAGTTGAAAGAATGGCTGCTCTTGACAGGCCAGGGATGAGAAAGAAACCATCTTATCAGGGTGCTCTGCAATATTCTCCAGAGTTCTGAGTTGTAGTGGGCATTCTACACATGTTCTAGCCCACCCTACCTCAACAAAAGAAAAATAATGGGAGGAGAATCTGACACTTCTCAACAAATCATCAATAAACATTTATTAAATACCTACTGTGTGCACAACAGTGTGCCGGGTGCTAGAAAGATAAGGATGAAAAAGAGCCAAGTGAATAACCCTCAAGGAGCTAACAAAATAAGAGAAAATAAGAAAGAGAACTGGCTTTGGAATCAAAGGCACTGGGTTCAAATTCTGCCTCTGACACGTACCACCAGTGTGAGTTTGAGCACATCACTAACCTCCCTGAGCCTCAGTTTTCTTGCCTGTAAAATGAATGGTTTGAACTAGACAGCCTCCAAGAAGGCCCCTTTCAGCTCCTGATTTATGAGTCTATAATGGGGTGAAGAGTGGGAGGTGGGGAGGATAAGACAGAAGAATGATAACAGGGCAGGATGTGGTAAGAGCAAAGAAAAGATCCAAAACCCATAGGAAATTAGGGGAGGGGGCAATCACTTCAGCTTTGATGATCAGAAAACAGCTCGTTCTCCAGTTGGACTGCAACAAATCGTGTGTGCCCTGATTTATCTAGTCATTTCCCAATCGATGGGCCCCCATTCTGTTTCCAGTTCCTTGCTACCACCAAAAGCACTGTTATAAAGAAGTGAGGATATATGGAACATTTCTCTCTGTCACAGACCCTCACGGGATAAAATGACCAGCACCAACAGGTCTGGGTCAGAGGGAATAAACAATTAAGTCACTTTTTTAACAGTTCCAAATTATTTTCCAGAATACTGGACCAATTCACAGAGTTCCAGTCTCCCCACAGACCCTCCAACATTGATCATGGTACTTGTCTTTTATCACCTCTGTTAATTTTCTGGGTATGAGGTGAATCTCCTTTGTCAAGTTCTGAAATAAATCAAACTCAAAAGTGGAGGAATAAGGCTCCCTTAATCAGGATAATAGGGTAGCAAACCTGCCACTCTAGAGGATGTCCCACCAGCAGACTCACAGGAAAAGGTTCTTATAGTTTTAGGAGGAAAGGGGGAGGGGGTCACACTAGGTAGCAAGGCCTGGTCATGAGATCCCAGTGTAGATTGCCCTTGGCAATCTGAGCAAGAATACCCACTTATTCTGGTTAATTTACCCTTCCTTTAACTCGCCATAAATCTCAATGAACAGGACAAGACCATTAGGAGATCCAGCTCAAGCTAAGTTCCTTTACAAGGTAAGATAGAGAGGGAAGACTTAGGTGTGGTTCAGTTCACCCTAATGGAGAGTAAATATCTCAAGAGTAGTAATGCAACGACATTACTGAAATTCTGACATCACTAGGATCATTGAAGGAGTGGCAGGTACATTTGGTATTAACAATTTTCTGTCATTATATTAACAATTTTTCTTTCACCTTAATTTGCATTGTATTAGCAAGCTTTTTTTTATATTTCTGTGGATCATCTGCATTACATCTTCTGAAAATTGCTCAAGTCGTTTATCTTTTGGGGAGCAGTTGAATAAACTGTAGTGAATGAATGTGACAGAAAATTGTTACACAGCCAAAAAAAAACACAAAAATATGGAGACTTCAAAGAAACATGCGAATTGAGAGCGAAAAAAGTCAAACCAAGAAAACATCACACATAATGACTGCAATAATTTAACTGCCCTAAAAGACATCAAAATTCAGGTCAACACAATAATCAAGCTTGACACTAGTATATGGATAATGAAATGTATCTCCCCCTAATGGCAGACTACATGGGTGGCATGAGGCACATGTCAAACTTGGTCTTTGTTTTGTTGCTTTGTGTAATTGCTTTGTGTAATTAATAAAATACAATTTTTTTTAAAAAAATCTAATGAATGCTTAGTAGGTTTTTGTCATTCTGGTCAAAGAATACCACAGTTTATACAGAATTAATGTTACGGGTTGTGCAAAAGGTGACGAAGCACATGGTAAATAAGATGCATTAGAGTGACCAGCAAAAAATTGCACAGAACAAACAGGGTAAAATTGTGTAACCAGAAAAGACGGGGCAGTCCTGTAGCAAGAGACAACTGATAGAAACCATGCACTCCACTGGTATCCACACAGGTCAATTAAGAACTTCAGCAAAGTTGCAGAATATAAAATAAACCCACATAATTCATCAAGATTCCTATATGTTACCATATAATAAAACACAAAAGGGAGAGACACATTCCATTTAAAATAACACAATGTATAAAATACATGGGAATCCACCTACTAAGACACACACAAGAACTATATGAATACAACTACAAAATACTTTACAGAAACATAGACCTTAATAATTAGAGAAATAGTAATTTTTCATGGAGACCAAGTCAATATAATAAAAATGACAATACTACTAAGTTAATTAATTTATTCAGTACCATACTGATCAAACTACTTACTTTATAGAACTAGAAAAAATTATTTAAAAATTCATCTAGAAGAAGAAAAGGTCATGAATCTCAAGGGAGAAAATGGAAAAAAAAAAAGTTGGAAGGAAGTGGGTCTAGCAGAAACAAATGAATCCAGCCACCAAGGGTTCAATAAACCCAAACACCTCAGCTACTGCAAAAAGACTCAGTCTGACAAAAACATTTGGGAAAACTGGATAGTACACTGGCAGAAATTAGGTTTTACACCAATACTTTAATCCAAGATAAGCTCCAAATGGATATATGACCGAGGTATAAAAAGTCACATCATAAACAAATTAGAGAAAGAAAGAAGAAATTACCTTCCAGATCTATGGATAGGGAAAAAGATCATAACTAAACAAAGAAAGGGGAGGTTTACACAAGATAAAAGGGACAGTTTTGATTACATTAAATTAATAAATTTTTAATAAACAAATCCAAGACAATTAAGATAAGAAAGGAAAGTTAAATGGGAAAACAATAATTGTAGAAAGTTTCTCTGATAAAGGTCTCAATTCTAAGATATATATAGAATTGATTCAAAGTTATAAGAATAAGAGCCATTCCACAACAGATAAACTATGTAAGGATAACAAACAGGCAACTCTCAAAGGGGAAAAAAAACTTCAAACTGTCTATAGCGATGAGCAAAAAACTGCTCCAACGTACTAATAATTAGAGAAATGCAAATTAAAGCAACCCTGAGGTTCTACCTCACAATCGTCAGAATGGCAAAGCTGACCAAAAAAGCAACTAAAAAATGTTAGAAGGGCTTCTGGAAACAAGCACATTAATGCATTACGGGAAGAGACGTG